AGGGAGTGGATCCCATATCTTGGAGGTGTCTATCCATCCCGGGGCGACAAAGATGTACAAGGATCTTCGTCTAGATTACTGGTTGCCCTGCATGAAGCGGGATGTAGTATGGTATGTAGAGCGGTGCTTGACCTGCAGGAAGGTCAAGGCAGAGCACCAGAGGCCACACGGAAAGATGCAGCCACTAGGTATTCCCATGTGGAAATGAGAAGATATTACTATGGATTTCATCACCAAACTTCCCAGGACCGCGCGGGGAGTGGATTCCATATGGGTCATCGTGGATCGATTGACCAAGAGTGCCCATTTCATACCGATCCCGGAGAGCATATCGACCGAGAAGCTGGCCGACATCTACATTCGGGAGGTTGTGGCCCGACATGGAGTGCCAATCTCAGTGATTTCTGACAGAGATGTGCGGTTTACATCCAGATTCTGGAAGAAATTCCATGACGAGTTTGGTACTCGTCTACACTTTAGCACCGCTTTTCACCCACAGACGGATGGCCAGAGCGAGCGAACTATCCAGACTCTGGAGGATATGATGCGGGCATGCGTTCTAGACTTCGGTGGTATCTGGGATACCTACCTTCCATCAGCCGAGTTCTCCTACAACAACATCTATCATGCGAGTATCGATCGTCCTCCCTTCGAAATGTTATACGGGAGGAAGTGCAGGACCCCGATTTGTTGGGGTGAGGTTGGGCAGAGAGTCATGGGGAGTACCGAAGTGGTACTTAATACGACGGAAAGGATCCAACAGGTCCGAAGCAGGCTTCAGACTGCTCAGAGTCGGCAGAAAAGTTATGCCAACAAGCGTCGTTTAGACCTGGAATTCCAGGTCGGGGATATGGTCCTCCTGAAGGTGTCACCTTGGAAAGGTGTCATCCGGTTCAGGAAGCGGGGAAAGTTGGGCCCCAGGTACATTGGTTCTTTCTAGGTCGTTGCCCGGGTGGGCAAGGTGGTATATAGGCGGGATCTTCCAGCCGAGCTTAGTAAAATTCATAGCACCTTTCACGTCTCCCAGCTGCGGAAATGCTTAGTAGACGACTCTGCAGTGGTACCTCTCGAGGATATTCACGTGGATGATAGCCTGAACTACATCGAGCGATCGATAGCCATTTTAGATAGGAAGACGAAGGCGCTGAGGAACAAGGAAGTAGATCTGGTGAAGGTGCGGTGGTAGCACCGCAAAGGCTTGGAATGGACTTGGGAGCCGGAGCATGAGATGAGAGAGCATTACCCCGGGTTATTTTCAGTGACGGCAACAGACTTCGAGGACGAAGTCTAATTCAAGTGGGGGAGATTTGTAGCATCCAGGATTTTCCAGGTATTATTATTATTCATCCTAATTGAAGTGTAGAGTGGTTTGGTTGGGCTTTGACCTTTAGGCCTTGCTAATGGGCTGAGGAAGCAGCGTACGTTGGGCGTATATTGCCATGTACGCCCAGCGTACTCGTGGAAAGGGAGCGCGGGAGCCAAGCATGTACGCCCAGCGTACCAGGAGTACGCCAAGCATACATGTGCAGCCCTTTAAACCCTAAAACTTAGGGTTTACTCCCTATATAAAGAACATTATCCCTGTTTGTTCAGCCTCCCTTCACCCTTAAGCAATCACCACGAAAACCCTAACCCACTTTAGTGTGGCTTAGTTATTTGGAGGCCATTTGAGTGCATTTTGGTGTGATTTTGGTGCTTTAGAAGAGAAAGGAACTTGAAGAAGGAGATAGGACCCACCAAGAACTTGTAGATCCAGAAGATTAGCATCATTTCTGCCCCATTTGAGGTATCAAGTCCCAAACTTGGTCATTACATTCTTAGATTGCTAATAGGGGGTGTTTAAGGTTAATTTTAGACTCCATTATTGAGGCTTCTTGCATCTTAACCATTTCAGACCTTAATAGTTGTCCTTTTGGACTCTTAGAGACACTAAGAGTCATAGAAATCAGACATTGATGGTTAAGCCACAACCATGAAAGTGTTAGTGGGTTTTAAAGTTTGTTAAAAGGACCCAAAACCATATTTGACCCCAACCATGCATGCAAGCACATAAAGTTCGTGACTTTACGGTTTAGGAGGTCTCAAAGGACCTGGATCTACATTTTAGACGTAAAGGCTTAATGGATTAAGTCATGATTGAAGTCCTAAGGAAGCTGGCCAGTGCGTTGGGTGTACTCCCGGGTACGCCGCGCGTACTGGGTCAACTTCCCGTATGAGGTCAAGGCCAGCGTACATCGGGCGTGCATGCCAAGTACGTCTCGCGTACGCATGCAGAGTGGATTTATTTGGGCTTTAGGGCCTTAGAGGGTTGGGCCTGGACTGTTGGGCCTCAAAGCCAACTGTAAAGCATAATTTGGACCTGGGAATCTGGAATCGGAAGTATTGGGCCATATTGGGCCATTTGGGATTATTTTGTTTGGGCCTAAAGACTTATTAAAAATTGTGAAAAGGCCCATTTGAAGGGTTGGGCCCAATTTGGAAAATTGTGCCATTAGTGGACCTTTAGGGAGTCTTGGGGGTCACGGGTGCGTTGGATTTAATGCGCTAGAGTGGGGTCTTATGAATGTTCTCAAATTGGACCAAGGGGTAAAATGGTCATTTTACCCCAAGTAATGTTATAGATTCTGATTTAGTGTTAATATGACCATGATAGTCGGGACTCATCGGAGCAGCTGTTAGAGACTACTTTCCACGGGATTAGACACGCAGTATCACGAGGTGAGTTACCTTTCAGTAGCGGTGGGTCTACGGCCACAATGCCGGCCCACTAGTAGGAGTGTATGTTAGACAATTGTCTTTGTTATAATTGTCTGTGTTTACTGTTACTTGATATGTTTGTGTTATGATGTTATATGATTATAGCAGTAGGGGGAGATAGTCCCCAAGTTACCGGCTGATAGGGCCGAAGGGGGTAGTTAGTACCCAGCCATGCTAGACAGAGTATGATTATATGATAATATGTGATAATAGTAAGGGGGGATAATCCCCCGATACCGGTCGAAATGACCGAAGGGGTAGGCCAGCACCCAGGTATGCTAGGCAAGGTCACCGGTCGAGAGGGCCGAAGGGGTAGGTCAGGCACCCAGATATGCGTGGCAGTTTGTATGCTATATGATTGTATGGTATGTGGTATGGTGGGGGAACTCACTAAGCTTCGTGCTTATAGTTTTCAGTTTTGTTTCAGGTATCTCCTAAGCGAATGGGAAAGAGTCGGCGTGGTAACGACACGTTACACACACATGCAGGATTCCGCACTATGAGATTTCTTGGGATTGTACTCTGACATTGTTACTATTTTATAATACGACTTTAAGACATGAGATTATGGTTTTATGAAATGATGTGACTTAATGATGTTTCTTATAAATGTTTTCTAAATTGTTATATCAAAAACAAAATTTTTGGTCCTAAATTTTGGGGTGTTACAGAAACAACACTAGGAAGTGGTTACATCATGAGAACTTGTCCTCAAAAATATTTATAAGAGTCATTATGTCCCATAAGAAGCTGCATTTTATGTTGAATTTAAGGTATCCACGAATACATGTAGTAGCATTACATGTGCATGCAGGAAGATCTTGAACAATATGAAGTTCATCCCAATTTTTCATTAATTTGGTAAAAATAAGTTGAGAAATCATAAGATCCTTGGGAAAGAGAATACAATTATTGTTGTATCTAATAGATGAGAGCACCAGCGGTTTGCTCATATTGATGGTTGAATTCTTTCCATATTTCTGAAGCAGTGGAAAAAAAAACACTCTCAACAATATTGTGATGAAGACAATTCAATAGCTAGGTGATCACCATGAAGTTAACTCTATACCATCTAGAATATGTTGTAGAATCGATCAACAACCATGATTCACAAAGAAAAAACTATGAAATCGAGAGAAATTGAAGATGAAAATGAATCAAATAAGAACAGAGAAGATGAGATTGAATTAATAGGATGCGAGAATTAGATTAAAAAAATGAAATTGAATCACATTGATGCATGCGGAAATGTGGATCGAGAAAAACTGATACCATGTAATCATTTATACGAAAGAGAGAGAAAGCTTCAACTTTTCTATCTGTTCATTATTACTAACTGATTCATACAAGCACACTACTTATATACAATAACAAGAAACAGAATAAATAACCCTAATCACGTAAATGTACTCAAATACCCTTAGAGCTAACAAACTCTTAACTAACTTGAATTAGCTGGCTAACAATTTCTAGCAATTAGTCTAAAATCTATAAGCTTGAATTATGTATCAACCGGGTACATGTCATATGAGAAGACAACAGAATGACCGATAAAGAAAGAAAAAAGAAAATCAAATACCAAAGGCGAAATTGAAGATCTCATTTTACGTTCATGGTGTTTGCTTTAAGAGTATAATTCTAGTTTTTTATTAATTACTAAAAGGCTAAGCTGGAGGAGGTAGTATATTGATATAAGAAACGTTATCCAAATAAATTTCTAGGTTTTGGATGGTTCCTATAAAGTTACAACCACTACATATTTTACAACAAAGCATTTTCTTAAAACTTCGTAAGTCAAATTCAGTTTGCATACAACATACAAACAAAAAAAAGCCCAAAGGTGATTTTCAATACAACATACAAACAAAAAAAATCTGAGCATACAAACAACAATGAGAAAGTCCTTATTAAACAAGCAAAACTTCTAATTAATCCTGATATACAAACAAAAAATCAGTGAGATACAAACCTGATTAACCTGATACACAAACTTGATAGTCTAAGAAACCAAGAATCACGATACAGGAAAACGATCTCAATCTTAAAATCAGAGCACAATTAAACTACACACAGAGTTCGGGGATTTGGAGTGGCTTCAATTTTCTGATCAGCAAGGCCATATTAGGACTTTGGGGTAACTTTGGGCCCCTAGTGCAAGGCCTGTAATCTGTAATCTTCAAAGACCGGGAATTATGCTAAACATCCGTCGATGAAAAAAGAGGTAACCTTGGAACAAAACCATTTCAGACTTCATCATCAATAAGATCCCTATTCCAACCACTATAGTACATGGCAATACATATGTGCTTCGTGGGGCGCATTGTTGAGGTTCTACTTTTTAAAGGCATCAAGCTCTTCTCATCAAACTTTTCTTCATAGACGTAAGTGTTTCCAGATATACTTTCATTATATCCAAGATCCTCATCATCAACATGCACCATATTCCCGTAATCAGAGATACAAGTTGTAATTTGTTGGACATCTTCTTTGTAGATAACGTGCGCCCCACATCTCTGGGATGGTGTGCCATTTGCTAACATTACAGTTATATTAAGATTACCTTCAATATGAGACCAATCTTTAGGTTGAAGATCATGATACATCTGCTGAAAGAAACCCAACGGCATATAGCTAATCCATACATTGCTATTCTCTACTTCTTCAGGGGTAAACATCATACTAATCATTGACTCAGGCATAGACATTGCTAATCCATTACTTAAAATGCTGAAGGTGATGCGAGGACAAGCTAAATACCTTAGAAACATACCACACACCACGAAACCTATAACCTGGGTATGCCATTTGTGAGGTAACTTCAAAGCTATTCTATACCCATTCTTTTTTTGTTTGATCCAGCTTGGAATCTTGTTTCCAGGAATAGCAATACTTAAACGATGATTTACAACAGCACATTTCTATAATCAATGAAAAACATTACAAAAGTTGCTCAAGAGATAGAGAAATCTTCAAAAAAGTCCCAAATTTTTGGAAAAAGTTTCAAAAAATCCTATTTTTTTTTTAAATCCAGAAAACCAGGAAAATCCTTCAGTTTAACCTTTTCAGCCGGTCAGCAGCTGGCCAGGTGTGCTGACATGGCATGCCATCTTCTTTATCATTAAAAAATGAATTCTATGGCTAAATGAAGGGTGAGAGATTCGAAACGGGGTCTCAACCACTCTACCAGTTGGGCTAGAAGATCCATATATATATATATATATATATATATATATATATATATATATATATATATATATATATATATATATATATATATATATATATATATATGCTCTGATACCATTTACTTTGTTAGTGACATATCATTTTTCTATGACATAAATATTATATTTAGAAAACAAATAGTTTTGTTTTTAAATAACGTATTTGTTTGTAACGAATTTTAATACTAGCTTTTATGAGCCATCTAGCATCATGAATATGATTATTGTTTAAAATCGTACCTAGATTAGTAGGTTTGTAAGAATCCTTGAGATTTTGCTCAGAATTATTTATGGATTCTTGGATTTGTTGTATTCTTAAAAGAATATCTCTATTAGGAATACAATTCATCAAGATTTTGTTAGACATAATTAAATAATTTAAGCATGAATTTGATTAATTTGATTATTAAAAACGAGTACTATTTTAACAAAAATTTCAAATCTTGTAGAATTAATAGTTAAAATAACTCGAAATGAAATTATCATTGGGAAATAAATTTAACAACAATACAACAATTGAATAAAATATTTTAGATAGTACCTTCTTGAATTAAGCTTGAATTACAATCAATACATACATCTGGAGAAAGAATTATCTGAAAATCTAGAGACTTTGAACATCTACTAGTAGAAAGAGAGACTCTTGGAGATTTTTTAGACATGAGATGAACATTTTTAGAGAATGAATATTTTTGCTTGCTTCCTTCTACTGACATATGATGTCTATTTATATTGATCTTGAAGTCTTCAAAGCCTTGAAATCTTGTAGTGAAATTTGCCGTATGATTCAATGGCCAATCAATTACTTGTAAGTGGTTGTCACTCATCTTTTGAAGAAATTGTCGTTTGTAATCAATAAATATCACCTTTTGATAAAACATGTCATCATAGAGCATCTTCTAAAGTTTTTTGTCTTCATATTATCCATAATAGAGCATCTTCTAAAGTTTTTTGTCTTCATATTATTATTGATGATAAGAACGAATAATTTTGATAATAAATTTGACAATATTTGTTTTATACACTATAAATACATATATAGTGTATACTCACACAATTTATACACACTCGTATTTGAAAATAATAATTTTGATAAATAGAAGAAACGAAATACCCTACATTGAAGGTATTACACCAAATTTATAGATAAGAATTTCTTATTCTTCATAAGGATCATTAAAAGGGTCTTGAGCGTCTTGAAATAAACTATTCTTTATAGATTTTGGAGAATCGTCAGAAACCGATTGAGTTTGGCGAATTTCTTGAAGTAAGCTTTGAAGTTCTTCAGGAGAAGAGGTAGCAGCATCTTTAATTCTTGAAATTAGATCCATGTCTCTTTGAGGAAGACTTTTGATAAAATTGGCTTCAACCTCTGGTTTTCGAATATATATTTCTTAATAATGTTTAATTACTGCTTGTTCACTGGCTTGAGAAATCTTCATTTTATCCCACCATTTTGAACGAAGTTGTCGATTAAGCCAGGGAGGAGAGGAATCCTTTGCTTCTTGATAATGAAAAGTCCAAGACATTATCCATGGAAGTTTGAATAACATAGTGAATTGTAGCATATATTCAAATTCTGGAATTTGTTGAATAAACAATTCCTTAAATTTGAGGTATCCATCGTGAATTTCTTTTGGTAAACAATTTGGAAGAATTCCCATATATTTGTACCAATTGATAAACCATCTTGGGTATTCACAATTGAAGTTCAAATCAAAGAAGATAAACCATGAGTGTGAATAATTCCGAATAAAGAACGCCTTAGTCCAGGCATCTTGATAATCATAGTAAGAAAATCTGGGATAAGCAGGATAACTTATAAGAGGTTTTTCAGAATGAAGGTTTGGAACCCAACTTTCTGGAGAAATGATTTTGATAATATGAGCTTTGCTAAAATCAATGTTTCCCTCTTTTGAATTAGAACGATGAACAAAATTAACCGAACCAGATTCTTGCAAAATAGCTTGATAATATTCTCGAGTTTTATATGAATCAACATAAAAGGTTTTCCCTTGACCAAAGAGATGATTTGTGAGAATATGAAAACCTTGATGTAACTTATGGATTTGAAAATCTTCAAGAATTTGAACTCTTAAGAAATTTGGATTAAGAACATAAGGAGTTTTTGTAGAAGGGCTAGGAGTTACAGAATTTTGAGTTTGAGGAGTGATAGGTTTTACAAAAGGGCTTATCGGGTTTGTTGAAGTAACTTTTGGAGTAACAAGTTTTGACTGAAAGATATTAGAATAAAGTTGTGAATTCTTAGAAGTAGGAGTTAAAGGAGAAAAACGATTTTGATTTTGAAATGGAACAAGCTTTTGAGAGAAGGGCTTCTTGTCATCATGTTTGGAAGAAGACGACGAACTCATTTTCCCTGTAAAAATTCTCGAGAAAGAAAGTCGGGAAGCGAATTATTTTCTCCCTTTATGAATTCTATTTCAAAATCAAAGTTACATAAGAGGGCTTGCCATCGAGCAAAAATTTGCTTGGAAATAATATTTTTCACATCTTTTTCTAAAATAGTTTTTGCAGATTGACAATCTATTCTTAATAAAAAACTTTTCATAAATAAATCATCTTCAAATTTTTTAATACATAAAACAATGCTTAAAATTTCCTTTTTGACAGTTGAATATTTTTTTTGTGTATCATTCCATGCACCAGAGTAATATCGAACCAATTGTTCTTCTTTTGAGTTAACAAATTTTTGTTTTAGAATTCCTCCGAATCCAATATCACTAGCATCGGTTTCAACTATGATATTGGCGTTGGGATGAGGTAAATTTAAACATGGCAAAGTGGGAACCTTTTGTTTTATATATTTAATTATATCTGTATGTTTTTTAGTCCATGGTTCAGGATTATCTTTTAATCTGTTATAAAGTGGTTTACATATAATCCCTAAATCTTTGAAAAAATCATGGATATAATTTAAGCATCCTAAAAATCTTTGAAGTTGCTTTTTATCCTTGATTTCATCAGGAAATTTAGTAGAAAACTGCAAACTTCTTGTAATAGGTCTAATAGTGTTTTTGACAATATCATGTCCTAAAAAACGAATTTCATCTTTAAATAAATGCATTTTTGCTGCAGAGACAGCTAAACCATTTTGATAAATTAAATCATGAAATTGATTTAAATGTTTGAAATGTTGATCAATTGATTTTGAAAAAATTAGGACATCGTCAATATAAGCAATAGCAAAACTACTAATAGGAGTTATGATATCATTCATAATATTTTGGAATTCGGAAGGTGCATTTTTTAATCCAAAATGCATTACATTCCATTCAAAATGCCCAAAGGGAACATTAAAACCAGTTTTGTATTTATCTTCTTCATGAAGTTGTATTTGCCAAAATCCTGATTTCATATCAAACTTCGAAAATATGTTTGAATCATAAAGTTTTTTTAGCAAATTTCGTTTATTAGGAATAGGATAACGAATCCATTCTAAAACTTTGTTTAAAGGTTTATAATTAATAACTAATCTTGGTGATCCTCTTTCTAATTCTGCGGCATTCATAACAAAAAATGCTGAACAAGACCATGGTGATTTAGAGGGTCTTATGAGTGTTTTATTTATTAAATCTTGAATTTCATTTTTACAATGACTTTCTAGTTCACCATTCATGTGAATGGATCTAGATTTTGAAGGAATGTCTTTTTCATCAAAAAAATTTATATACGGTAATTTTACAATATGTTGTTTTCTATTCCAAAAGGCATTAGGAATATTAGAACATACATTTTTTTCAAATTTTAATTTTAAACTTATTATTTTATTTTGAATATTATTATCATTTAATTGATTAGTTATTCGAACATTATTTATTTCGTTAATAAGATATTTGGCTTGTTGTGTTTTATAATTAAGGACATTAATCGTTGAATATAGAGGAGGTTCACAAAATTTAAATATAATTTCTTTTCCAAAAACATTAGTTCTTATACCATCATCATGAACCATAAAAAGATATAGTTTTGTAATGAAAGGTGTTCCTAGAATTAAAGGAGAAGACATATCTTTTACTAAAATTAGGTGAGTTTTATAACAGTAATCTTGGTTATTACAAATATGAACATCGGAAACTTTATAATTTACAATTAATTTTGTACCTCCGGCACCAGTAAGTCTAGATGCAGTTTTTTCATAGAATTGTGTAGGAAAAATTCCTTCTTGAATACAATTCATATAAGCACCACTATCAATTAAAGCAGTTAGGTTGATTTTAAAATTATCCTTGACTAAAGTAATTTGAGTGTTCCATTTTTGAAAAACTTGATTATTTATAATTTTATCAATAGTTACATTTTCAATTTTATTTTCTTCTTCGTTATTAATTTCTATATTTTTGTTTTTAAAAGTAGTAGGTTTTTCTTTTTCTAAAATTAAAATTTTATTTTTTATTTCTTTTATTTCTTGTTTTACTATTTTTAATTCTTCTTGAAGTTCTTGCATAGAAATTGGCTTTGCTTCAGTAAATCTTTCATATATATGTTTTAAATTAAAATTTTCATTATTAGCAGGAGTTATGTTA